CGATTTAAATAACAATTTTTCTCTTGGCCCTTGGTGGGGTCTAGCTTTGATTTGATATTAGCGTTGTATACATCAACAGACCGCGAACTTGAACCGCGGCTTGCCGTTGGCGGCAATTGCACTGCATCATGGGATTTGTAGTGTGTGTTATTGGGGCGTCATATCACAGGGCCATTAAAAACAGATATATAAAACGATTTCGCGGGCCGGATATAATTGTATGGCGGGCCGGATGTGGCCCGCGGGCCTTGAGTTTGACACATGTGTTCTATACCATCCTGCCAGTATGCCTAACCTATGATGTGGAGGCATCATACCTCTAGGAGTTGGAAGATAATTTAGCGTCAGTTGTGCTGATCAATCATTGCCTCTCTCTCCCCTCCTCCCCGAGAGCAGAGAGTACCAACAAGGAAGCCAACTGTGCTGTGAACCACCATTTACTGGGAAAATCATCAGCTCATATGAGCCAAACAGTGTTTAGACAGTAATGGCTTTTAGATAGTGCTGAGCTCACTGCAAGATTTTATAGCCTAATGATAATTCCCCTTCAGAAATCCAGACAATGTATGTTCTGATGTATGGGGCAACTTAGCCACCATAAGGTAGAACTGATGATAATGGTGGTACTGGCGTTGTGTATTAAGGTACATTCCTTGTTTAAGACTTTAGTTACCATATACCCTACATCCTAGTCAGCAATTGTGTCAAATTATTCTAAAGAAACATATCAATCTTCTAACCTGCTTTAATTATCCTTATTTTACCGTATCAGTTATAACACCTTGCAAGCAGAAGGGTCTAAAGAGAAGGCCAAACTGAGAGTCAAATTTTGCTCTCATTTATACTAGTGAGTACCTCCCAAATATTACTAGTAAATCCAGAGCTATACCAGCAGTTAAACTCTATTAACTTCCATGGAGATAATCCTGATTTACACAGGTGGGTCAGAACCTGGCCTGCTGTCCATTGGATTCACTTCACTCATTGCTGCAAAGCAGGAACATAGCATGGATGGGCCTGGGCCACCAGATTGGGAGTCAGAAGACCAGGGTGCCATTCCTGTTTTTGTCATCAATTTGCTTTGTGACTTTAAGAAAGTCATTTACCATCTCTGTTCTTCAGTTTCATCATCTGTAAAATGAGGATATAATGACTTCCTTCATAAAGTGCTTTGAGATCTAGAGATGAAATCAGAAAGGCTAAGGCACAAAATGAGTTACAGCTAGCAAGAGACACAATAGGAAAGAGGAAGAGGTTTGTTAAATACATTAGGAGGAAGAGAAAGATGAAGGAAACTGTAGATCCTCTACTTAGTGGGGAAGAAGAGCTAATAAGTGATGACAAATCAAAAAAACTGATGTGGCCAATGCCTATTGTGCTTCTGTCCTCACTAAAAAGATTAATGGTGACCAGAAACTCAACACAATTAATATTAACAACAAGGGGGAATGAACATAAGCAAAAATAGGGAAGAATAGTCTAAAGAATATTTAGATAAGTTACATATATTCAAGTCAGTACGGCCTGATGATATGCAGCCTTAGGTACTTAAACTAGCTGAAGCAATCTCAGAACTGCTAGCAATTATCTGTGAGAACTCATGGCGCATGGGAGAGGTTGCAGAGGACTGGGAAAGAGCAAACATACCACCTGTCTTTAAAAAGGGGAACAAAGAGGGCTAGGGAATTATAGACCAGTCAGCGTAACTTTGATATGTGGAAAAATACTGGAATAAATGATTAAACAACGAATTTGTAAGCATGTAGAGGATAATAGGGTTATAAGGAATAGCCAGCACAGATTCATCAAGAACAAATCATGCCAAACCAACCTTAAAAAAAAACACCTATATTCAAAGAGTTGTTATCAATGCAATGGCTTGCCCTCAAACTGGTAGGGTGTGCCTAGTGGGGTCTTGAATGGGACAATCCTGGGTCTGATACTATTCAATATTTTCATGGATAATGGAGTGGAGAGTCTGGTTATAAAATTTGCAGATGATACCAAGCTGGGGGTGAGGGGTTTGCAAGCACTGTGGAGGACAGGATCAGAATTCAAAATAATTTTGACAAATTAGGGAATTGGTCTGAAATCTACAAGATGAAAGTCAATAAAAACAAGTGCAATGCACTTCACTTAGGAAAGAAAAATCAAATGCAAAACTACAAAATGGGAATAACAGGCTAAGTGATAGTACTGCTGAAAAAGACCTGGGGGTTATAGTGGATCACAAACTGAATGAGTGTCAACAATGTGATGCACTTGCAAAAATGGCTAATATCATTCTGGCATGTTTTAACAGAAGTGCCATATGTAAGACACAGGCGGTAACTGTCCCACGCTATTCGGCACTGTTGAGACCTCAGTTGGAGTTCTTTGTTCAATTCTGGGCAAGACGTTTCAGGAAAGAAGTAGACAACTGGGGAGAGCCCAGAAGAGAGCAACAAATGTTAGGGCAGATTTTCTAAATATCTTCTGAGCAAAAAAATTCAAAAATGCTGGGCATGTTTCATTTTGAGAAAAGAAGACTGAGCGGTGACCTCATAATAGCCTTCAAATATATTAAGAGCTGTTATAAAAAAGGACCATGATCAATTGTTCTCCATTTCCTCTGAAAGGAGAACAAGAAGTAATGGGCTTAATCGGCAGCAAGGGAGATTTAGATTAGATATTAGG